TTTTTCTCAGAAAAAAGAATAACAAAGGATGTACAATTCGTAGACAGTTGGCGATGTTCATCAACATGCTGAATGTGGTGACATGATCGTCAATGATATGCAATGAAAAAGTACCAGAATATATCTCAAACGTAAGGAAATATGCGTTTAGTATTCTCCAAATAAAATGGCCTCTCCAGGGAACGTCAGTGGTGTCGACGTGTCATACTAAAAGACGTTCAAAGCTGGTCCTTGTTGTTATCCTGCCCCGGCAATCCGTAAAGAGAGTAAAGAAAACTGGTCGGTACAGAGACGGATTTATATATGTTACAGTGCGGTATGGGATGGATAAAGCTATAACCAGCAATAGATCGGACTAGTTGGCGCACGCACGCACACGCACACGCACACGCACACAGAGAGGGAGAGAGAGTGCTGTTCATGACTTCCTCTACCAGGAACTTCAATTTTTACTTCCATTTCCTACCTATGAAGATCCGGGTAGAATTGGTGTTCAATGCTTATCGTAAGAGGCAACTAACGGGATCGGGTGGTCAGGCTCGCTGACTTGGTTGACACATGTCATCGTATCCCAATCGCGTAAATCGATGCCCATCTTGTTGATCACTGGATTGTCTGGTCCAAACTCGACTATTTACAGACCGCCGTGATATAGCTGGAATATTGCTGTGTGCGGCGTTAAACAACAAACAAACTTCCATTTCCATTCAAAATGGTTTGGGAACACGTTTAGTCAACAAACAAGATCCACAAATATTCCTTAAGTCTGAGTCTCTAGTATTTAGCTTGGCGACTTTTTACTTTCCGTTGGAAATCCGACCTCTCCAAGGGGGTCGCTGGCGCTATCGTGTTTCAGGATATGATAAGTAAGAGCGTTTTGTTGTTTAGGTGTTTCCATTGTTGTGTTTATGTGTTTCTTGATCACGCTCGGTAAATCGAGATGTGTATACACGCTTATCTCAGCTCGGAGGTATTTCGATCAATCCTTCTCGCTTTTTATCTGAGCACACATCTCGATTACTCTCTGATAGGCAGACTGGTGTATGTTTGGTAATTATATTGTGCGAATTAATTCAATGGCCTTTTGATTGTAGGGAGTATCGCCAGGGCTTGATTTCAGGCACTGATACCGTTCTGTTTTTTCTCAAATTACAGACTGTGTTGACTCACCGGAAAACTTCGCGAAAGAAATAGTGAATGAAAGAGTATAGTTTACCGCCGCAGTGCCTCAGTTTCAGTTGGTTGATGTGCTTCTAAAACCGGAGAGAGACCTCTACCACTGTCACGGCACAAGCAAGGACTGATATGGAGCTGAGTAATGAGGGATCGAACCCTAGATCGGCGAACCGACACGGCCAAGGGAAGCAATTCTGCGCAACAACTTGGAGGCAACGATGTATGTTGCATTGATGTGTTCAATTTATTATTTATATGTTATTTATGAGTTATTTTTATACACACAAGAAAAAGAGTTTTTCCTTGCCGTGTGTTAGCTTCATGTATAGGTTACAAAACCAAATATTTCCCCATTGACTTCTAAAGCATTAAGAATAATAATAATAATAATGTCACTTATAAAGCGCAAATGTCCACACACTTATGAATGCTCAATGTGCTGAAAAGAATTGAGTAAAAGAGTCAGGCATAGGCACTTTGAAACAGGTGAGTTTTAACTTTTGACTTGAAGGTTGAGAGAGATTCACAGAATTTGATTTCTAAAGGTAAAGCGTTCCAAAGAGTTGGTGCAACATAGGAGAAAGCCCTTTACGAAACTAGGTGGAATTTGGGAACTTGTAGGAGGTGCTGATTCTGGGACCGGAGTGATCTTGATGGAATGTATTCTGTGATGAGTTCAGTGAGCATTAAACGTTATATATATTTTTATCATTAACTAAGCTATCACAGCTATTATTATTACACGTGTGCATAGTCTGGCCTTAAAGAAGTAATACACATAAAAATGACCACCTCGGCCAGCTCCTGATCCGAGTACAGGAAGCTAAACAGACCAGCCACAGTTCCGCACAAAATGTAAACCGCTTGAATATACTTGAGGTCACATACAGCATAAGTCAACATGTTGAAAAAGATAGCACTAATACATATGGTGAGTGTTTGGATGGATGTACATTTAAAAAAAATTTAAATCTTAATCGCCCAATCACAGCTGTCAGATGACTGAATCTGCACTCTCTGAAGTTTCCCTACGAAAGCTGCTTGTTAAACTATGAGTTCTGATCTGGTGTAGTATAACCTGTAGGGACAGGATCTTGTCGACCCATTCCAATCAGTCTCTATTCAGCAGGTGACATCTACTTTTCAGATTCGTTGGGTCATTGAGTATTCGATGTCCTGGAATTCCATCTGGAACCACAACGTTGAGTAAACTGTAGCCAATGTAACTGTAAAACTTATCCATTCCCAGCAACCATTGATGTCCCCCAGTCTCATATAAATGTTCTTGATGTCGCTAAACAAAGATCTGGGGACATCCTATAACAGATCAAAACGTTTCAATTTGACTTACCAATGAAATGCAAACAAGAGGTGAACATTAACCAATCAAAAAGCAGCTTTCTCGAACATTAGGGCAACTTCCGACTTTCACTTCCGACTAAGCTTTGAATGGTATCAATTCTTATGAACATTCTAGTTCAGTTCTCTTTATTCATGTGAATGTAGGCCATCGGCCCATGATACAAAGTTATACATTAGCAGTATGTCAAACAGTTGGTCGGTATTGGTAGTACCTTGCAATGGCTATATAAAGTTTCTTTCGTTTGAAATGTTCATCCTATTAGTATTGAAACGAGAGTTGGACGAACGTTTTGACGGAATAACTGTGCATCCGGTAATAGACATTTGGATACATTATTAGAGAACACATTCCGACTGTCATGTCCCCGATCTGGTAAGCGACGCTTTGATTGGTCAAATGAAAGGTCGGTCTGGTGTGACCCGCCACGGGATGTAATCACATCTTTGTTTAGAAGCTGCGATAACCAAGAGCTAATTGTAATGAGATTGTGATATCACCGACCTCAATGTTGTTACCACTTATAAAAAAACCTTCTTGACATCTAGCAGCCACGAAAATTCCCACGTTAACTTGCCTTGGAATAAATAGCGAGTCATTTTTCAAAGGACTTAACAATTAACCGTGTCTTCAGTCATGTCAGATACAACCAACTTAGCTATAGAAAACATAAAGAATTAGATTTCGGCAGAATGGACGCACGCCCAACGATTCCAACAGTCTGATTAATGCGAAGCCATTGCTTGTTTTCCAGGGCGTAACGTTTCCTATCTCCAACAGGGTATTGTCGGCACTGCGCGGAGTACGGAGTAAATGTTACGCAAATACTCTACCGCCGAACTCGTGATCTGTATCAGCTGATGTTCACGTTTTTCTGATACAATCCAGCTATCATGAAGACGTGCACGACGAAGAAATCCTGGAGCGTTTTAAGGGTGTTACCCCTCTGTTTATACAGGGATGCCCTGTGTAAGCTCCACACATCGTGATTCCGGTTTGGTAGATCAGTGGAATTATGGGTCGAATGAAGCGGAAACGTATATCTTTTACATGATCAGGTTTCCTCATTGTAAATTCAGATTGTTGTTCTTTGTCATTTATAGCCAGGTATTTGTTTGATCTTGAAAAAATGGTAGCTATTTAGGGGTTTCCTGGTTCGTGCGGAGGGCTAAGGATGTCTGACATTTTCAAGAATAGATAGAGGAGCAACTGGGAACTGTTTGATTTTCAAAACACGTACATTCGTGACAGATCTTGCTTGTGTTTCAAGCTGATATTTACCTTATTGCAATTCAAACGTTTACCTGAGAGAAGATAGCTTTCTATTGTACCAATTGACACAACGTCAAGATCATTTGCAAATTCTAACTGCAGTTGGAATATGTTTGGAAGCACGGGGTTGACGCCTGGAATGTGCGATCCCTGTAAAGGTTCCGTTAATCCATGCGTTCAGTAGACATCCAGACGATGCTGCAAATTTTATCCCGACAGGTGTTTAGAATAAGGACGCTGAGTAAGCGTCAGTAGGGTAGTCGAACAGGCATTGTTGTCGCTCGTCACGATAAAGGCCAGGACCCCGTTCCTCAAAGCGATCGTAGCGCTAAGATGATTGTAACTCCCATACTTTAACATAGGCTTACGACTGTCGTAGCGCTACGATCGCTTTGAGGAACGGGGCCCAGGGTTCGAACATCTGCAAACTTGAGCTGTACTTGGAGCATGACATGCAAAGACATGCAAAGATTCCCAAGGTTGTTTTATGTTTATTAATTATTCCAGATTACCTTGGTTTGAAGGATTGGAAAACGTACATCCCTAACGTTCTAACGTTAAGAAAAGGATTTTTGTGTAGAATGCATTAAGGTTGGATTGCATGGACAGGATCATCCCTTGGAGAGTGACATGCAATCATCCATGTCAAGCTTGACAAGACCGCATGCATGGTCCAGTTGAAAGAGCGTCTTCCCGGAGAGCGGGACGTCTGAGGTTCGATTCCCGGCTGTACTGTACCAAACTTCGGTGACAGATAATAGCTGCTGCTGTCCTACTTGGACGTGATAAAACAGACTAGTCGACTCACAGTCAGTATTCAGTGTTGACTAAAATCTCGCTGACCTGGCACTATAAGAGAGAAGTCAGAACTAGAACCGCACCCGCACATGCACGCGCTCGCACATACACGTGCATGTTAGTCGTTATATAAGTGCAATAATCTTGAAGTAGACCATGGGATTGACAATATCTTCTTTTTCTATTGCAACCTAATAACAGCAGTAAATTATCGGAAAGCAAATGGCGACATGTGGCTAAACAATTGCGTTGCTTTGTTTCTCTTTCTCGGTGTGTATTGTGTGTTTTGCCACACGCAGATTTCCGGTCTTGGACCTTCAATCTTATGAGGTCACATTTATCCATGAGAGAAGCTCACTGTCTCAAAGCGATCGGGCGTCTGTGTTGTGTGGTGTCATCTTTCGGTTACAGTGTCTGCTTTATTGGGGAAACATGCCTGCTGAGTAACAGTGTCTGCTTTATTGAGGAAACATGCCTGCTGAGTTACAGTGTCTGCTTTATTGGGGAAACATGCCTGCTGAGTTACAGTGTCTGCTTTATTGGGGAAACATGCCTGCTGAGTAACAGTGTCTGCTTTATTGGGGAAACATGCCTGCTGAGTAACAGTGTCTGCTTTATTGGGCAAACATGCCTGCTGAGTTACAGTGTCTGCTTTATTGGGGAAACATGCCTGCTGAGTAACAGTGTCTGCTTTATTGGGGAAACATGCCTGCTGAGTAACAGTGTCTGCTTTATTGGGGAAACATGCCTGCTGAGTAACAGTGTCTGCTTTATTGGGGAAACATGCCTGCTGAGTAACAGTGTCTGCTTTATTGGGGAAACATGCCTGCTGAGTAACAGTGTCTGCTTTATTGGGGAAACATGCCTGCTGAGTAACAGTGTCTGCTTTATTGGGGAAACATGCCTGCTGAGTAACAGTGTCTGCTGGAGTAACATTGGGGAAACATGCCTGCTGAGTAACAGTGTCTGCTTTATTGGGGAAACATGCCTGCTGAGTAACAGTGTCTGCTTTATTGGGGAAACATGCCTGCTGAGTAACAGTGTCTGCTTTATTGGGGAAACATGCCTGCTGAGTTACAGTGTCTGCTTTATTGGGGAAACATGCCTGCTGAGTAACAGTGTCTGCTTTATTGGGGAAACATGCCTGCTGAGTAACAGTGTCTGCTTTATTGGGAAACATGCCTGCTGAGTAACAGTGTCTGCTTTATTGGGGAAACATGCCTGCTGAGTAACAGTGTCTGCTTTATTGGGGAAACATGCCTGCTGAGTTACAGTGTCTGCTTTATTGGGGAAACATGCCTGCTGAGTAACAGTGTCTGCTTTATTGGGGAAACATGCCTGCTGAGTTACAGTGTCTGCTTTATTGGGGAAACATGCCTGCTGAGTAACAGTGTCTGCTTTATTGGGGAAACATGCCTGCTGAGTAACAGTGTCTGCTTTATTGGGGAAACATGCCTGCTGAGTAACAGTGTCTGCTTTATTGGGGAAACATGCCTGCTGAGTAACAGTGTCTGCTTTATTGGGGAAACATGCCTGCTGAGTAACAGTGTCTGCTTTATTGGGGAAACATGCCTGCTGAGTAACAGTGTCTGCTTTATTGGGGAAACATGCCTGCTGAGTAACAGTGTCTGCTTTATTGGGGAAACATGCCTGCTGAGTAACAGTGTCTGCTTTATTGGGGAAACATGCCTGCTGAGTAACAGTGTCTGCTTTATTGGGGAAACATGCCTGCTGAGTAACAGTGTCTGCTTTATTGGGGAAACATGCCTGCTGAGTAACAGTGTCTGCTTTATTGCAGGGAAACATGCCTGCTGAGTAACAGTGTCTGCTTTATTGGGGAAACATGCCTGCTGAGTAACAGTGTCTGCTTTATTGGGGAAACATGCCTGCTGAGTAACAGTGTCTGCTTTATTGGGGAAACATGCCTGCTGAGTAACAGTGTCTGCTTTATTGGGGAAACATGCCTGCTGAGTTACAGTGTCTGCTTTATTGGGGAAACATGCCTGCTGAGTAACAGTGTCTGCTTTATTGGGGAAACATGCCTGCTGAGTAACAGTGTCTGCTTTATTGGGGAAACATGCCTGCTGAGTAATATTGTCAACTGTCTCGACTTGAGTGTGGCTGAAACACTGGCTCGGGCAGTAGCCAAGTGATTAGAGCGCTGTCTTATCATACCTGTCACCAGGTTCGCGTCTCCTTATGGGGTCAGTGCGCTGGTTCCATATGCCATGGAATTAATCGAATATCAAGGTATAACTCTCTGACGATTTGTAAGGCTGATAATAATAATGATAATGGACATTTATAAAGTGCCTGTATCCACGCCCTTGTGCATGCTTAAAGCGCACAGGCATTATTACCCCGGTTAACCCAAGTTGCCTGTAAGGCGCTAGGAGGTTAACAGTCATATGACTTATCCTACCGGGTACCCATTCACTGCTGGGTGAACAGGTAATTTTGAACGAACTCACTTGCCTAGGGTGAAACTACAAGTGTCACGTGTGCTTCGTTGTGGGGCAAGAGTTAAGTCCCAGAAGCTCTCAGTAGTCAACCAGTCAAACACGCTCACCCATCCAAGGACTCTCCGTGGGTTGCTTAACTTCAGTTGATTTGTGACCTGAGCTCTATGCACAGGAGCACACACCACCACTGCCGACTTTAAAGTGATGCCATGCAGCAGTTTAATACAGATACTCCACTTACACCCAAAACCTTTTTTATCCCCTTGTTTTAGGATCTATACTACCCATCAAAACTTTAGACTGAATAATGTAACCACTTTCTTCAGTCAACTGTTCTAAACTAAATTTTGCAAAAATATTCCATACTGTTTAAAGGTACTGTTTACACATGAACTGATGTATTTTAAAACAAATTCGTAACGTTGAAAAGATTATTGTCATCAGTTCAATATATGATGAAACTCAGTGAAAATTGGTGAATTCTTAACAAAACTTTAGACCAAAACTGTTCAGCTGTTCATTCTGCTTTTCAGCAATTTGATGATTGATCCTCGTGCCATTCATCTGCATAAGGTTTGCAGTTGGTTCAAGTTAGTGGAGAAATTCATCTTCGATGTAACCATATATATATACATAACATATAGTGAGTGCTTTAAGTGAGTCTTAACTTTTGATGGGTAGTATATCTACCTATCCGTCTAGCAAATCACACAACGTCGATATCGTAACTTCACCATATTTGCCAGTCACGATCCAGACCCGAGCATGGAAACTGCCAAACATGCCTGCTTAATGACAGGTACCGACATGCCATAAACTTGCACGATATTGGCTAACGGTAAACGTTATTTTTGCGCTTTTCACCTGCAATTTCATTTATGGGAGAAAGCGTAAATATGTAAGTGTTATCTAACGTGAGGCACCTCTTCAGTCGTAAGTATTTTGAAAGGTTTGCGTTAGAACCTCGTCAAACAACCGTGGGTACAGTGTGAAGTTAATAGAATTCATGTGGGATTTGTCATACACGATTGACTTTCGTGTGTGAAAACACACATGGTAAATTACCCTTCATCTTTCATGTGCCTCATATTTCGCATTATTTAATTATTTGAGGTTTTAAGGTTAAACTTTCTATAGTTTTTCATATATCCGTGTAGACCCGCCAAGACCCTGGTTTGGGTGTAATCGATAAACAACACTTTAGTACACCCAATTTAGAACTGGAATTTGGACTCTCCAGTGGGAAAATGGGGGTAGATTCGGTACATGTATGTGTATTAGACTCGTGTAATAGACAGATGCCAGATGCATTGTCATGGGTGGGAAGGCTAGGTCTCTATAGTCGTATAAGCAGATCAGTGAGTGAGTGAATTGGGTTTTACGATGCAATATTCGAACATTGTCTTTCAGGCTTTCAGGCTTCACAAATTGTATACAGGTGGGGATTCGAACGCGGGTCATCAGTGTGACGAGCGAACGCTTTATCCACTAGGCTACACTACAGGCCCAGCGTATTGTATGTTGACGGGACAACTAGGCTTCCTCATCTCCCCTTTAACAGTTGACCTTGCTAGTTATATGTCATTGTACCACCAGGATGTGGATCAGATATTGGCTATCAACTATCAGTTTGTCTAAGTCAAACTACTGACATCAACCTTAGAGACATAGCAATATCCATTCACCCAGATGGTCTCTAAGCATCAATAAAATACAGACATCCTCGACAGTGACTGTGTATCCAATGTATGTCCCTCTGACTGAGCTTGTGACTGCATACAAAAGACAAATGCAATATTGTCACCTATAAACCATCCTCGATAATCCAGTGTGTTATATCTACATTCTGTTACATTACAAACCCTGGACCCATTCACTACCATAGTTTCGTTTGTGGAATGGTGTCACTATCTCGGTCTCCCTTCTGAATAACCTCCCACAGGATTGCTCTCGTATACTCCATCCAGTCGAGATCGGTCTCTGCAAGGGTTCGGTAGTTCTAGACTGTGAAGCACGATTTGCTTCCTCTTTTCTCAGTTCCTGTTCATTGGCTTTCAGCGTATGTTTGTTTTAATCTGAAAGGTATTTATACTTTTGCTGTGGAAAGCCTCTATGGTGTGACTGCCTCCGTGGTGCAGTGGTTAGAGCGTCCGCCTGGAGTGCGGAAGGTCGCGGGTTCGATCCCCGACCGCGTCATACCAAAAGGCGTTAAAATATGGTACTTGTTGGTCCCTGTCTGGCGCTCGGCATTAATGGGTACAACAAGGACTGGTCGGCTCGGAGTCAGTATAATGTGCCTGAGTGGGGTATTCATGCTTCACTGCGGCGTGGTATCTCAGTGGGCTAGCACTATAAAACCAGCTTAAGTCTGGGCTAGTACAAGCAGCCGCACGTACACATACACACGCATGCACGTCGTCATATGAGCGAAATATTCTCAAGCACGACGTTAAACCCAATTTCACCTCACCTCTGTGGTGTCAAGGACTGAGGATCTGCCCTAAGAGGTCAGTAGCTCTATTCCCTTACCGCGTCATACGAAAGTACCAGGAGACATTAAAATGGTTCTTGTTGCTACCTAGCCTGGCATTTGATATATAAGGCAATAAAACAAGGTCTGGTTAGGTCTGCGCCTGTATATTGAGCGTTTATGTGTGTATCTGTGTAGGCATGTGCCCATGCACGTCCAGTAATACTGATCGCGACGTACCATTCCATTTAACCTGAACTTCCCCTCACGTTTACTGTGGGGATCATCTTCAACACTGCCTCCGGCTAACCATCATTAGGGAGCGGTGTCAATACTTTTGGAATCTAGCAACTTCACCTACAGTTTATAACCGCTATCACCATGGTTCAATGCTCATATAGTTCACTATCTTGTCCACGATACATTCTGTGAATCCTATCTTGTGAAATGTTTATCTGTTTATGCCGTGAAAGATGAATATTATTGTTGCTATGTCGGTACAGTTTGTATACGGTACTCATATCGGTTACGTTTAATTATTTAAAATAAAAATTAGCTACATATGTTGTTCTCGGTAAACATTCGTCTACCTTGTTATTCTAATAATTTAAACAATGACTGCAGCAAATGGATTTCTGTCTTATTTCCCTTTCAACAAATTATCTTTCACGGACATTTAGGCTGTTTTGAAATGACCTTGAACGTTGTTTAGCAACAAAGACATAGCAATGCAGATGGCCTCCTGCCCTGCTTACTTGTATACACTTTGTTTTAATGATTTAAGTATGATCCAAAATCTGCTTTTAGATAGATCTGAAAAACATCAATGGCCTCTTAACAACACCATGCTATAACACACAGTAAGTGCAGAGGTTTTACTCTCGCCGCTTAATGGGCTTCCGGGAGACTGCAGGACATTATTGTCCCATGTTCTTGAAAGAACCACTGACAATATCAGGATCCCCAAGAAGCGCCTGTCGTCAGAGAGACACTGTTTTATGCTTGTAAACTAAAGTTTATAGCCTTATAGGTATGACCAGTACAGCAATGACACTCGTATCCACTCGGCTTATTCCGTTACATTCATACATTCATTCCGCAGCGGAGAGTGGAAACTGCGCCACTCTGATGTCCCTCTGAACCTCATGTCGACGTCGACCGACCCCCGCAGCCCATAGTTCTTTCGAACAACATGTGAATGTCGCCAACTCACTAACTGTGGAGTTTGTGTGTTGCTACGGCTATAGTGTAGAACGTTTGAGAGACCACCAACCCACTACCTGTGGAGTTTCAGGAACCACTCCTTGGACCACGTACAGAAGAAATGTTTCATTTTCATTGCGGGTAAATGTGTTTAATGCTCCTCAATTTGCTTTCAACTTTACTCAACATTTTTTTCTAAACATCTAAAGATGAGCTGCGCAATAAAAGATTGATGTTTGCCATTAACACGTTCAGTTCATCTTAACTTGTTTGTGAAGGAAATTAGAGATTAAAACATTCCAGTTACAATACGGCCTTAAATCATTTTCCAAATCCACCTGCCAACTTTTATATCAAATATAATCAATAGTGTTATGATACGCGCGACTACGTCGGTTTGAAGTCCATGGGCTTTAAAACTGGAATGACCCATTTAATTTTCCGCTTGAAATATTTCAAATGAATCAATTATGTCTGTGAACAAAAACGTAATGTGTGAAATCAAAGAAATGTGGGAGTTAAAGAAACGAGTGTAAGTAATGAGATTTTCAATGTTAGTTGGCTGTGTTACGAGTGAACTGTAAGGATCTGGGTGTGATACGGGCCATAACGTACAACATTATGTCATTAAACGCGACATCGTAGAAGGGAGATAATTTGGGGCGCGTGGA